GCTGGGGGTGGGTCGGGGGGGCTGGTACAGGGCTGGAACCCCTCACTCCTGAGATATCCCTCCCTAATTTTTATACACCACACGTGGGTGCGGCGCCAGGCTGTTCCACATCTCTGCCTCTCCTACCAGCCTGGATGGATGTGGTTTCTTTAATTCCATAATTGTCTGGCTTTCATTCAACTGGATTTCTGACAGTTCTGAGTGATGGTTGTCCTATAGTTAAGTTGTAATTTTGATGTGGTTGTGCAAGGAGGTGTGCTGTGTTTACCTATGCCACCATCTTGAAGTTCAAGAAGTTCAAGATTTTATATTTTTAGTAATTGATGCTACATCAATTGTATATAAATATGGAATAAAGTAAGCCTGGCCTCTTATGTCACTTTCCTGTGTGTATGTAAGATGTTTCTAACAGACAAATAAGAATAATTTTACATTTCCAACAGTGAGAAAATAGTTGAAGTATATATGATACATTCTTAAGTTAAAAATATATGGCATTAAAAAGTTTCGAAGAGGTTTTCTATAAGAATTGCCTACAACATGGGGTGAAAAAGGCAGACCACAAAAATCCTGTATAAAGGACGGTAAAAGCTCTACGACAATGTGTACGGAGAAAGCCTGGAAGGAAGTAACGCTAAACTGTGAATAATGATTATTGGCTGTCTTTGGTTGGTGAGATAATGGGTAGATTTTTTTCTTATTTTTATTTTTCTGCACCTTGTAAAATTTCAAGACTTTTGTAATGGCAGAATAAGCTTTTAAAAAAGATTTTTTTTCCTTCCAAAATAAAAACTCTGCTCTTCAAGTCTTCTGCCAACTGCTGTCCTGCCTTACTGATATGTCAACCTTTTCTGCTTTCCATTCTTACAAAATGTATCCACTACTTCCCCTGGCCGGCTACACTGAAGCTTCTCACTTGCCACCTCATCTTGTCCACTCTGAGTTTCCAATGAAGAGAGAAGGCCTTTTGGCAGGATACCCTTCATTGTCAGGTAAATGAAGGATGTCTGCGGCAGGGAGGCTGTGAATCCTCTGTTGTTGTCCAAGACAAGGGGTTGGTGTAATGGAATTCAAGTTTTGTTCATAGAAGAGATGTGAATTTTCATGCACTGGATGGGTAAGCAATTATTCTACAGTGGTAGTGAGACATGTTTCATTTTATGTACGTTAGGAAGGGCAGCTGCAGCCTACAGAGAACTGGTGTTCTCCCCATCTCCCGGGGAATCTACAGAAATAAAGCCCCTCTCTTCTCTGAGGTATAGCAGTAGCTTCTGGGCAGACAAGGAACAAGCTAGGGCTGTTACATTTGTAAGACACTAGACAAAGGCTTGTCAGAGACCGAGGTTTGAAGATTTTTAAGAGGAGAGGTGACAGACGGAACAGGTGATAGGGAGAAAAGGAAGGACATGAGGATGCCATAGGAAGGAAATGTTTCGGATTTAGTGTAAATCCTTCTCAGACTATAGTATGTGTTCTTGAGGAAAGGGTTTTGGAAAAGAAGGGCAGTAGCCCCTGTGTCCTGGTCACTGAAGAAAACTGAGAGGCAAAGAGCTGGTAAAAATAAACTGCTACAGAAGCTATAGGGAGCCCTGGCTGGTATGACTCAGTGGACTGAGCACTGGCCTGTGAACCAAAAGGTCACCAGTTTGACTCCCAGTCAGAGCACATGATTCCTGGGTTGTGGACCAGGTCCCCAGTTGGGGGCATGCAAGAGGCAACCAATCACACATCAATGTTTCTTTCCCTCTCTTTCTCCCTTCCTTCTCCTCTCTCTAAAAAGAAATAAATAAAATCTTTTAAAAATGATATAAGGAAACTAGGGAGCAAAATTCTAACCCTCTCACCCCAGATTCAGCCAGAATAGTTTCATTTTCATGTTTCATATACTGGATGTATGAGTTCACATTTGCTACTTAATAAGCCTTCTCAAAGCTTTCAACATAAACCTTTTATTTAGCTTATGATTCTGTAGGTCAGCAGTCTGGGCTGGGTTGGGTTGATCTCAGCAGGGGCTCACTCATGCATCTGTGGTCAGCTTCCCGGTAACTAAGGCTGGTGGGGAGGGGGGCCTGGGTTTTCTTCTCTGTGACTTCTCATCCTCCAGCAATGGAGGAGCAGTTTGGGCTCATTCATTCATATGGTAGCCCCCAGATTCCAGGTGCAATGAGACAAGGTGAGTCCCAATTTACTAGCACGTTTCAAGTCATTCTTTTCTGTTTGCTACTATTCTATTGGCCAAAGTAGTCACACAACCGAACCATGACTGGAATTGCTGCGGTCACAGTGCAGTGTGCATACAGGGATGGGGAGAAGTTATGGCCATTTAAAATGCAGATTCTCAGACTCTGCTCAAACATATTGCATCATATGTCTGCAAAGAGGGGTCTGGACTTTGCCTCTGTCAGGTGATTCCCTCTCATATTTTAAAATGTTAACACTATGAATATTATATGTGAAATACATATGATATATATCTTTAAAAAATAGGGCACACTAACATAACGTACGCTCGTGAACCTATCACCCCACCCAAAAGCTGGATCATTAGCAATAATTTACCTATATTTATATCTACTTATGTGTTTTTCTCCTATGCCTTCCTCCTACCTCCCATGAGAGGTAACATATTACATTTTGTTTTCCATTCCATTAAAAATTTTAAAATGCCTGTACAACACATTGCTTAGTTTTGCTTCCTTTAAAAATATTTGACCCCAAGTAAAGACGTTTATTTACTGTTTTATTTCTTGAATTTTTGTGATAAAGTACATAGAACAAAATTTCTGATTTTAACAATGCTTAAGTGTATAATTCAATGGCATTAATTACATTCGAAATGTTGTGTAACCATCACCTCTGTTTCCAAAAGTTTTCATCACCCTGAACAGAAACTTTGTACCCATTAAGCAATAACTCCCCACTCCTCCCTCCCTCTAGCCCCTGGTAACTGCTTATCTTTTTTTTTTTAAATGAATTTGCCTTTTCTAGCTATTTCATATAAATGGAATCATGCCATACTGTCTCTTTGTGTCTGGTTTCTTCTTTCACTTAGCATAATGTTTTCAAGGCTTTCCTTTAAAAAATTTTTTATTTATTTACTTTTAGAGAGGGGAAGGGAAGGAGAAAGAGAGGAAGAGAAACATCAATGTGTGGTTGCCTCTCATGTGGCCCCCACTGGGGACCTCGCCTGCAACCCAGGCATGTGCCCTGACTGGGAATTGAACTGGTGACCCTTTGGTTTTCAGCTGGTGCTCAATCCACTGAGCTATACCATTCAGGGGTGTTTTCAAGGCTTTTCATGTGGTAGTGTGTATTAGAATTTCCTTTGTATAGGTGAAAATATTCCATTGCATGTATATGCCACATTTTGTATATCCATTCATTTGTTGAGGGACACTTGGATTGCTTCTGCCTTGTGGTTATTGTGAATCATTCCACAATGAACATTGGTATACAATGGTCTAAGTCTCTGTTTTTAATATTTGGGGTATATACCCAGAAACAGAATTGGTGGGTCATATGGCAATTCTATGATTAGCTCTTTGAGGAATTTTCAACTCTTTTGCATTGAAACTATTGTATTTTACATTCCCATGAGGAGTGTATGAGAATTTCGATTTTTCTACAATTTGGTCAACACTTAAAAAAATTGTAGACATTTTAGTAGGGATCAAGTGGTGTCTCATTGTGGTTTTGATTTGCATTTCCCTCATGACATTTTCCAGTGATGTTGAGCATCTTTTCATGTTCTTATTGGCCGTTTGTACACCTTCTTTGGAGAAATGTCTTTTCCAATAATTTGCCCATGTTTTAATTGGGTTGTTTATCTTTTTGTTGTTGCAGGAATTCTTTACATTAAATCCTTGTGAGGTATATGGTTTGCAAATATTTTCTCCCATTCACAGACTGTCTTTTCACTTTCCTGATACTGTCCTTGGATGCACAAGTTTTTAATTTTGATGAACCAATTTGTCATTTTTTTTCTTTCGCTGTTTGTAATTCTGGTGTCATATCTAAGAATCCACTGCCAAGTTTTGCTTGGTTCTGAGCTCTAAGACAGTGGTGTCATTCTGAAATTAATCTTCTGAAACTCGCAGTTTTCTTTCAAAATTGTGTTTATGAGATTATCTAGGTTCTTTCATAGTTCGCTCACTCTCACGGCTGCATGATACCCTGTGACAGGACTACCCCACACGAAATCTCCCCACTCCCTTGTAATGGGCATTTGTGCTGTTTCTAGTCACTGTGGCATTGCTTCAGTGCCACCACGAATGTCCCAAAGTGATTCTTTTGTACACTGCAATTTTAGAACCACTTACCTTTTTTTTTAATGAATAAAGCAATCTTTTATTGAGTTGCTATTACATTTCAGTTGAACAGTAATTGGGATAAACAGGTGCAGACATTGGACTGAAGCATATACATTTTTTCACATGCCTACTTGGATTGATACTGACTATAAAACCATAAGAACTACTACCATTGAGTCTGGTGTGTTGGTCTACACTCTAGCTTTAACCATTTTGTGTGATTTCTTGCAAACAGCAATCACAGAAGATACAATAGATACATCTTACTGATTTCAGGTTGGAGAGCTTTTAAGCAAAGCAGGGAGATGTCAACACAGGAAAGGGGAAATGATTGTGAAAAGAAAATGCTTTCTTTAGAGCCCTGTCTCAGCCAGGTTGCAGGAGTGTCTATAAGGGGTTTGAAATAACCCAAAGAAGGGCTTTTTTTTTTTTTCTTCAGTGCTGAATACTGTCCAAAACAAAGAGATAGAGATTGACAGTTTCTCCTCCAGCCCTGCACAGTGGCTGATTTCGGGAAGCTCTTTGGCAGCTACCTGGGGTCATGATGTGGCCAGGTTTCTTTGGGGTTTGTAAAAGAACACCAGGGAAAACTCAAGTGTGAAGCAAGAGCTCAACTCTTAACAGGGATGTTTGTGGTTTTGTTACTGGAAAATGCCAGTACTTTAACAAGGCCAAAGTCGTGTAGACACAGGAATTACAAAATCAAGAAGGGGTGGGGTGAGACATTACAGGTATAAAAGCATCAGCAGGCTGAGCCCACAGCGCGGCTCTTCCAGAGGCAGGACAAACCGAAGATGCGGTGAGTCCACAGCTCTGCTCCCACTGCCTCCCTTTCTCTTGTTCTTTATCTCATCCTTCATTGCATAAATCTTTTATCTACATGACAGCCCAGGTATAGGAGAAGCCTACAGAACAGGTGCAAAAATATAACAAAAAAGCAGGGCAAATGGGCTGTGTTAAATCCTCTGCTTTTCTGCATTCATAAGAGATAATACTTTCAGACACTGCTGTCTTTGCCAGATGTGACTTGCTTTAAGCAATACCTTTTTTTCCTTGAGGTTATGAAGTTTTCATCTCAGTAGGAGATGACACCAGCTTCCATGGAAGGCTTCCTGGTATTTTAAATATATTTATTAGTTTTTTCTTTTTAGACCTGGTATTTTAAATATATTTATTAGTTTTTTCTTTTTAGAAATGTATAATAAAAAAGACCAAAAGTGACGTACTTGGGTGACACAATTAAGGCACTTAGAGTTTATCAAAATAAAAATTGTTTTAAATGTGGAAGTAGCAAGACTAGAAACTTAACCAAGCAATCTTTGAAGAGCTGACATCTGTCAGTGTGCTAATTAACTGGTAAGTGTGGCCTGCGCATTGATGCCCGTGTCCAGGCAGTCTTTTAGGAAGCCCGTTATCTTCCAGGTAACCTTCTGGCATTTGGGGGTTTCATACCATTTCTTTTTTTTGTTTTTAAGTACTGCTTTTATAGAAAGAGAGAGGAAGGGAAGGAGGGAAGGAGAGAAAGGGGTGGAGAGAGATTTTGTTGTTCCACTTATGTATGCATTCATTGGCTGATTCTTCTATGTGGCCTGACCAGGGATCAAACCCACAACCTTGACATATCAGGATGGCAGTCTAACCAACTGAGCTGCCTGGCCAGAGGTAGTATTTCATTTTCTTGAAGCAAATTATCATAAAATAAGAGAAACAACCACATAGGTATTTTAAATGAAATACTTAAAAAACCTTTTCATACGGAAAATTTTGAAAAGTAGAGAGACCAGCACAGTAAACCTCCACATCCCACTAAGTTTCCCTCATTTGCAGTGTCCTTGGAGCCCAGCACTTTAGGGTTTCCCAAGGGAAACCCTTTGCTGGAGAGCTTGAATATTATTACTAGTTTAATGATGCCTTAATGCTGCCAGCAACTGAGGCCCACACACCTGTGTACCTTCCTATTTTGGTGGTCCCCCCTGAAGCCCACGTAGAATTCCCAGCAGCACAGAGCTTGCTGGGCCTGCGCGTACTGGGAAGCTGTGAAGTAGGTATTTGGTGGGTTGTAGCTCTTCCATGTGCGATTTCCTCTTCTGGCTGCCTCTTGGGAGGGGTATGTGTTGTGAGGCAGGGAGAGGAGCTTTGCATTCCTTCCTGTTTTCTCTTGGCAGCACCTTGGGAGCTGCAGTCGCCCTCTTGCTCTGGGGCCAGCTTTTCGCAGTGGACACTGGCAATGAGGGTACAGGTAACACAGGTAGGTCTCTGGGTTTGGGCAGGAGCTGTGCATTCCAGCACTATTACATCTGCACCCTCTCTTCAGGAAGACCCAGATCCCCTCTTCTCATCCTAATCTCTGCTCTTTCAATGCAATGAAGAGCACTGGGGAGCCAGTCAGGAATAAGAGAAGACTGCCCACTCCTTGGCTTCTGTTTGGGGTGGACAGGGGTTGACATGCACAGCAGCTTCCTCTTGTCTGACTTTCTGTGAGTCTTTGGGAGCAATTTCTAAATATTAACTTCCTCTTCCTGTTTTTCTTTGCAGATGACAACTGCCCAAAGGCCCCTGAGATTTCAAATGGCCACGTGGAGCACTTGGTTCGCTACCAGTGTAACCACTACTACAGACTGCGCACTGAAGGAGATGGTAAGACCTGGACAAGAGTCCTTGTGTCTTCCCCACCCTGGCATTTCCATGATGAATGGAGCCCGGGGTGATTGGCTAGGAAATTCACATGTTATCCATGGAGCCAGGAGGTGTAGATTCTAATAAGGGTTTTGTTACCAGTGCTGTGGCCTTTAGAGCAGATTAACTCTGCTCAGCCTTAAGTTTTGTCTTTTGTTAAGGGGAAGTGATGCCATGTAGCCTACCCATTTTAGTACGAGAGCTATGTCTACAAAGGATGTGGCAAAAGAAAGATGGTGACAGTGTTGTCATTGATAGTCCTTACTTTAGTGAGTACTGTGACCTGGCATTGTTCTAAGTGGTTTGCATTTATTTGGTTACTTAGTCCTCACAACATCCCTCTACACAGATACTGTTATTACTATTTGCTGATGAGGAAACTGAGGCATAGAGAGGCAACTTGCTCAAGATCAGGTAGCCTGTAAGAGGTGGAGTGAGGATTTGAGCCCTGACTCCTACCCTGTCCTGCCTCACCATGACCACCATAAGCACAATTCTGTCCTGCTGGGCTTCACTGGTGTCCCGGCACTTGGCTCTTCTAGTATAGTGCTCCCCCATTCCTCCTACTCCCCTGACCCTTATCTTCCTTTGCCTTCTCTAATTCTTCTCTTTAAATATCTTCTTTCCTCACATGAAGTCCAGATTCAATTTCTCTTTTGGCTCATTTCTTTCATTTCAGGAGTGTATGCCTTAAACAGTGAGAAGAAGTGGACAAATAAGGCCACTGGAGAGAAGCTTCCTGAATGTGAAGCAGGTGAGAAGCCAAAGGGCCCTGGGGAGCAGACCAAGGATAGGTGTTGAGGGTCCAGTGCTTGGGCAGGTATCTTGGATAGTGTGTCCTAGATGCACATCTCCATCCTATGTGGCTTCTACTGGGCATACAAAAGCCAAGACCAGGGACCAGGGAGAACCACAAATGGCCAGTGGAAAATCAAGCAGTTAGATGATTCCCCCCAAAACTTCACTAAGGATCTTGTTCATCCGGGCATGCAGGGCATTGACTGAATCTACTGTGTACACTGCCCCTAGGGGAATCAGAGACCTTATGTGGACACACAGCCTGCCCAGAGAGCCTAGGGTCAAGGGTAAAGCCAGGTCCAGAAAGAACAATCCATGGAAGTATGACAGAAGGCTGGAGGTGGATTGGGACTTCTATTTCTTGCTATTAGGAAGAGCTATTGCTCTCTCCTTTTCCCTCTCGGAACAAGAAGATTTTGCCTATCCTCTTCTGCTATTGGTGTGGAACTGCTAACGTGCCTTGTATTCACTGCAGTGTCGATAAAACCTGAGTTCTGGCCAATGCTGCTATAGATAGATAGATATTCAGATAGAATGAATTAGTATAGCTCCTTACTGTTACAATGAATTCCAAGGAATTGTGGACAGGTCCTTGTTGTGATGAACTGCTTAAATATACATACAGCTCATCAGTCAGGATTTCAAAACCTCAGTTTGTTTTGTGAGTTTGGAAAGCAGGAGATAGAACTCTTAGTGACGTAAACAATTTACTGACGTAAACATTGAAAAGGAGAGGTCAGAGGGTAAGAGCAAAGTGTGTGAACATTCCTGGCTCTGAAGAAATGAATAATAATTTAGACAGCAATGACAGCCAAAGCTTTTACCCCTGTTCCCAAGCTGGGAGATTCTCACACTTCTGTTCACGATTTTCTTCCTCTCCTTGACAGTGTGCGGAAAGCCCAAGAACCCAGTGGATCAGGCCCAACGGATCCTGGGTGGATCAGTGGATGCCAAAGGCAGCTTTCCCTGGCAGGCTAAGATGATTTCTCACCATAATCTCACCTCAGGGGCCACACTGATCAATGAACAATGGCTGTTGACCACGGCTAAAAATCTCTTCCTGGGTCATGCGGATGATGCGAAAGCAAAAGACATTGCCCCTACTTTAAGACTCTATGTGGGGAAAACTCAGCTTGTGGAGGTTGAGAAGGTGATTCTCCACCCTAACTACCTCCAGGTTGACATTGGGCTCATCAAACTCAAACAGAAGGTGCCCATTGATGAGAGAGTAATGCCCATTTGCCTGCCTTCAAAAGATTATGCACAAGTGGGACGTATAGGTTATGTGTCTGGCTGGGGGCGAAATTCCAATTTTAAATTTACTGAGCTACTGAAGTATGTTATGTTGCCTGTGGCTGAGCAGGATAGCTGTGTAAAGCACTATGAAGGCAGCACACAGCCTGAAAAGAAGCAAGCAAAAAGCCCCGTAGGAGTGCAGCCCATGCTGAACGAGCACACTTTCTGTGCTGGCTTGTCCAAGTACCAGGAAGACACCTGCTATGGTGACGCTGGCAGTGCCTTTGCCGTCCACGACGAGAAGGACGACACCTGGTATGCGGCCGGGATCCTGAGCTTCGATAAGAGCTGTGGAGTGGCTGAGTACGGTGTGTACGTGAAGGTGCCATCCATCCTGGACTGGGTTCAGAAAACCATAGCCGACAACTAATGCAGGGCTGGGTGGAAGCCCTTGCCTGAAAGCAAGCAAGATTTCGCTCTGGAAGGGGGAAAACTGGGAGTGCAGGGGATAAAACCTGGTGTGAAACCAATGGGTTCCAGCCCTGCACGGCTGAAATAAAGAGCTTTCTTCTGATTCCGTTCTGTGCTTTTTTAAAAAAAGCCTTGGGCCTTTAAACAATTTTTATTTATTTATTTTTCCATCACTGCTTATACCTCCTATACCCTCTTCCACGTCCGCCTACCCTCTGCCTTCCCAGCCTTGGGCCCTTTTCATCTTCTCATTTATGGTACAGCAGCACCAAGAGGGGCAGAGTCTATTGGGAGTGTGGCAGAAAACACCCACAGGACAGCTGTAAATCCTTAAGGATACAAACTGTCTCACTGTGGGGGTCACACTCATTGACTGCGTGCCTACTGAGGTGCTTTCCGAGGAAATGTCATCATTATCCTTGTTTTACAGACAAGGGAACAGAGACTTAGGGTGCAGTGATTTGCTTAAGGTTACACAGCTACTAAGTAGTGAATGCTGAACCTTGAAGCTAGGTTTGTCAATACAAACCCTGAGCTTTTCACTGCATCCTTCAGCTTCTTCAAAGTGATTTAGTAAAAACGGTGCAGACCTGGTGAGGAAGATGCTAGATCAGAGCGGGATGAAAACAAATGTTTTGACACAGACATTTGTGGTCCAACACATCAGCACCTCAGAAAACAAAGTAAGATGGTATAAAGGCAGGCTCTCTGGGCTCGCTGGGTCCAAGTCACAGCTTGGGCGTAAATCTGCCAAGTGCTTTAAGTTCCCTGCCCGTCAGTTCCCTGGTCTTTTCCATGAGGCGCTTAAGCCAGATGATCTTTATTTATTTATTTTTAAAATCCTTACTTGAGGACGTTTTTTTTTCATTGCTTTTAGAGATGGAGGAAGAGAGGGGGGAGAGAAAGAACATTAATATGAGAGAGAAACATCAATTGGTTGTCTCTTGTAAGTTCCCTGACTGGGGATTGAACCTGCAACCTTTCGGTGTACAGGATAATGCTCCAACCGAGCCACACTTGCCAGATAATCTTTAAAGCCTCTGCCAAAAATAACATTCTAGGACTCAGTAAAGGGATTATGAAGAATTTGCTTGTTTTAATACCTTTGAAGAATTCTTGTTCTTCCAGGGTCCCCTGGCACAAACTGCCATCACTTTGTCAAGTTACTGCTCCTCCCAAAACCTCATGGGGCTATTGGTACCCACTTCCTAGAATGAGACAGATACACAGCAGGAGGGCCATGGGTCAGGCAGCACGTCCCTTATTTAGCAGCCGCTGACCTTGTTGCCAACAGAAGCTCAGTTCCATGCAGGGCAGCACTGTCACTGCAGCCCAGTCCCCTTGCCAGGTGCTTCCTTTCCCAGCCTTTTCTGCAGGGAGAGGAAGCATGCAACCTGGTTCTGACTAACGTGACACAGAAGGAAGGCTGCTGGGTGCTTTTGTGTCCTTCATGATGAAAGGAGAGGGCCGCTCCAGGAATAAGACAGGCAAAACCCTTTCATCACCACCTCCATTTTCTCCTCTCCCTCTGCTTTCATGGTCGTCACGGTGCATGGAACTGCAGCAGCCATCCCAGGACCCTGAGGCCACCGGCTCTGGCATGGACAATGAATGTGCTGAGAAGGATAAAAAGAACCTGGGTTTCTGATGATGCTATTGAACTACGGAGTTAACTGGATCTGCCTCCCTCCAGACTTCTATGAAGGAATAAAACATCTTCATTGCCTGTTACTGTTAGTGGGAATTTTGGTCACTCATAGCCTGAATCACACAGTTCTTGATATGTCGTAAGTGCTCAGATACCAGCAAAATCTCAGAACTTCCATGCATAAAACTCTTGTAACTTCTTTCCTCTCAGAGACTTAAGGGAATGGTTCTCCAAAGTCCTGATTTATGTTTTGTTCCTATCTTACTTCCCATTTAAGGAAAATAGGAGGGGAAGTGCATTTCAGGGGAGTCCCAGGAAGTGGGAGGCCCCAGGACTTGGAGATGGCAGGGAGTGTTCAGAGAACCAGAGGGCAGCCTCCCCCGGGGGGTGGGCTGGAGGTGCTGCTGAGGAGAAAGGCAGAGAAGACAGGTGAACTGAGAAAATGCTTGAGGTTTTCACATTATTTTTGTCCTGAGTGGTGACCAGAAAACAACTTAATACAATCAGATAATTCAAGAAAACTTAGTGCTTAGGGTACTGCCAGAAGAAAAAGGTGTAACTGTATTGTAAGGTGCTTTTTAAAATGTATTTGCATGAGCCATGTTCGGTGTGGCTCCATTGGCTGGGCACTGTCAAGCAAAGTGAAAGGTTACCGGTTCAGTCCTGGGTGGGGGCCTGTTTGAGATGCAATCCATTGATGTTTCTCTCTTGCATCAGTGCTTCTCTCTGTCTTTCTCTCTCCCTTCCCCTCTTGCAAGTAAATAAATAAATAAATAAAGAAAGAAAGAAAGAAAGAAAGAAAGAAAGAAAGAAAGAAAGAAAAGAGTTCGTGTGATTTTTCAGTTTCTGACTATTATCTTTCACAGATTCTAGAATCTAGGACTAAGTGCCCACTAGCTCTGACCTGCTGAACACTGTCAATGGATCTGGGGCATACAAGCGAGGAAAACCTCACAGCGAAGGCCAGAATCTGGTAAGATGTTGATGGTATCAGGAGGCATTTTACACCATGAGAAAGAGAGGCCATATTTCAGTATGACAAGAAGGTATATTGGTGATGGGTCAGTGTACTGAGAGCAGAAGATAGAAGAGTTCAGTTAGCAAGAGAGCCTGCTGTCTGCACGGGTTCTGGAACCTTTCCTCTGGGAGACCTTTAAGAGCAAGACCCTTACCTTTGTGAAATGGAACACTCAGACGGCTTGCTTGCATTGGCTCCTGTAAAGGCTAGGTCACTTCCAAGTGGGAAAAGCAGCCCCTATTCTTTCTAACAATCCTCCTATCTCTTTCTAGTCATGAGCTTGAAGTCATTTTCTGTCACAGGAAGAGGTGGAACTCTGACTTCTGGGAGAGCTCTGTTCCTGTTTTCTAAGGGTAGTGAATTCTTTTTTTAGCTCAAATTGGATGCTGGATGGTAAAGGTTCAAGTCTCACTTCCTGGGCAGTTTAATAGCATAAAAGCTAGTAACTTTACAAACCAGGACACTGTTTTCAAAGTCTGAGCCAGAAGGTGTGAAAATAAAGCAACATTCCCTACTTTCAGTAGAGAATTATTCATTCTATGAGAAACTGGGATAATTAGGACTACAGTAAGAGAACACGAGGGATATAAATTTGAGCGGAGGGATGGGCAAGGATGAGGTGAGGAAGAGGTGTGTGTGTGTACATATAAGGTAGGAAGTACATAGTTTTGCTCTTTACATTTTACTTATGTATCAAATAAGCATAGTTAAATCAAATTGTATTAGCCAGTGTTTAGGAGAATTCTGTATTATGTTGAGGAACAAGGAAAAGCACAATGCAGAGAAAAGTCAAACAAATCACGCGGGGGAAGTCGATCACGGCTGACCTGGGTGCTGAGGTTTGCAGGGAGAAAACGCAGGCCTCCCGGATCATCACAGCCCCGGCGGGGTCTTCTACTCGGGGCCAGCGTTTTCTGTACAAGTCACACCTCTCCTCCACTGGGACGCTGAGCTTGTCTCCGAAGGAGTCCAGGAAAACAGCACAGCTGCATTCAAATACCATTTCTCGTGATGTGCCTCTTTCTCCAACTTTGACAGTAGTTAATGTGCTAAATGTCTTGATAGAGGAGGTCATATTTGGGGATATTCTTGGGATCAATAGGACTTTGGACAATAAGTTTTCCCCTCATTGCTCCTCGATAAATTACTTCAATCAAATCTATGAAGTCTTGTTTGGTTTTGAAACTTCCCACAAACTTAGTGTGATCTGGAGACCTAGATAGCGTAGAAGAGAGACAACCTTGCTCAGAACTTTTCATAATTACTTGCTGAAGACCTTCAGGATAAACAACATGAATAGTGGCTCTTTTACTTTCTTCTTGTCAGGAGGACACCAGACATAAGGCCCAACATTTATTTCTCCATTTGTGATTACAGGGTGCACTGGACATATGACTAAAACCAGTGCTGTGGGCCACTGGGACAGCATGTAAGCCCTACCACAGACACAAAAAGCTTCTGCTCAAAATGCATTTTAATCACTTCTCAACTTATTACCAAGGAAAATTCCCTGAGTACTTGTATGGGCGTGGTTTGTTTTGTTGTTGTTGTGTTTGACCAGGCGCTGTGCAAAGCTCTGGACATGGTCTGCAAGTTCCAGTCACTTTCACTTTGAGTAGTGGGTATCAATTTTATTTTCTTTTGTTCTTTCTTCTTTATTATTTTGAACATCAAGTATGCTCAATGCAAAAATTTTGTAGACACCCCCCCCAAATCACCACATTTTGATGTGTCTATCCCTCCAATCATATGTATATATGTCTATATGTGTTTTTTCACAATAACTGGAATTATACATACTATTTTGCAGTGTGCTTTTTTCCAACTAACATATATTTCTTTCAAGTTGTTAATCATGCATCTACAACATCAGAGTAAATTGGTACTTAGTATTCCTTTGTGGACATGTAAGTTCTAAGTATTTTGCTTCCTAAACAACGATGAGATAAGTATCCACGGAACCAATTTTGTCCACTTTCAGGATTACTTTCCTTCAGATAAATTCCTGAAAATGCAATTGCTGTGTCAAAAATTTCACACACTTTCAAGGTATAAAATCTTGGTATGTTATGTCATAAATTGGCCTCTGAAAAGATTGCACAAAATACATCAACCATATTATAGGAGAATAAATACTTTTAGAACACTTAAAACACATAATATTTTATACACGTTCGAACTGATAATGACAAAGCAGGTATACAGATCTAGACAAGAGGATATCTCAACTACATAAGAGATAATAAGAATTATGGATTTATTCAAAATAAATATTAAATACTGGGATGCTGACTGGATGCAGTGGAAGGCATTAAAGTAGATTTCATGTTATGTATTCTTGACAGGCTTTGTTGAAGAATAAGTTCAACAAAAGAATAACTTCTTTCCTGGCAGAAGGCAGGGAACTTGGCAAGAGAAAAGCATGTCTTACTTTGCTGAAAGGAGCCCTTCTTTTATAAATGAAATCCACTAGTCTCAAAAGTTAAAGAACAATGACATGTTTTGTTTTAAATGAAATTCCTGGGAAACTTTTAAGAAAATGGTTCTATATTTTGTAGACTAAAGGATGGTTAGTGCTTTACAGCCTGTACCATTCTTTCATACTTTAGTAGGAAATTAAAATTTGCCAGTCATACCAGAACACTCTTTTTGCACCAAGTTTCACATAAAAAAATTAGAGAGTACATCAGTTGAGGAAATGGTACCCATAAAAGACTCACTGCGCAACCACGGCACGCAAACTGGTAAGTTACCAAAACTGCTAAAAAGGAAAATTCCAGACTGTGATAGCTCATGTCAATCCAACTTACCCATAATCCACTTTCATATGTTGCCCATTGAAGAAAAACACAGTAGATGGAATATAACTGATGTCAAAATAGTGTGTATAAACTGGAGTTTGGTCCACATCAACTAGATAAATAGCAGCCATTTTACTCAAGTTAGAAGACGTCTTAGAAAGCTGCAAATGAGGACAGAGATGCAGGTTACAATATGAAAGGTAGCTAATGTTTCCTCTGTGAAATGTTTTAATATTCTGCTTGAAAAAAACTCCTAGGCCAAGTATCTGGTCCGTTTTAGTTCCACATTAGAGATACAGTGTAACCTTATCATTCAGTCTGCAGACTGTTGGGAGGGTTATGAGAGGGCCCTGGATAAACTGTGTGAATATATTACTTCACTTTTTGCTCCATTATTGATTGTACAGTTATTTTTATAAACTTTTTATAGGTTCATAAAATCCATGCTCACGTAAAGCAGAAACAAAACAAATTATCAATATGTACTATAGGTATCAATACTCCCCCGAACCTCTTTCCTTCCAATCCCCACATAAATGATAGTTATACAAAAAACAGCAAATAGTTACATGGCACTTAGTATGTGCTAACTGTCCTCAGTACTTTCCACTTTTAACTCACTTAGTCCTTACAACATTCCTATGGGATATACACTACTGTAGCCTGCATTTGACAGATGAGGAAACCGAGACATGAGGTAATTTGCCCCTGGTCACACAGCTCATAGGCAGTCCAGTTTGGATTTGAACGCAGGCAGCTTGGCTTTACAGTCTGTACTTGACCTGTACTGGTAGTCCTTCCTCCCTACAGCTGAAGGTATAATCCTTTGGCTCTTTTCCCCACAGGGTAACACATCACAACTCACATTTAAGCACAGCAAAGAGGATTCTTACACTCTATCCACCTAGTGGTGTCAGCAATAGAAACAGTGGAAGAGATCTTAGTCTTGGGTTAAGTCTCTTTCCATAATAAACAGAGACAAGAATAAACCTACTCTGTCCCGAGTTGCCCTCCTTATTTAGCAGTGTGAAGATGGGTAATGAAGTCAGAAATTATCATCGGGCACACACTAGAGCAGCATAGTAGTAAAGCATATTTGCAGTCAGAGAAAACGAAGTTCAAATCCCAGCTCTGCAATTTAGTGGTCTGTGCCTATGGGATGTCATCTGACCTTTCCTGCATTCATGTCTCTGCTTCGGCACAATAATAGTGATGAACTCAGTGCTGTGTGCACTGACTAAGATAATGCTCACAGACATTCATTCATAATGTTTCTGGTCTTTCATTGCCTTGTTGGTGAAGTGGAGCTTTGGCAGCTGCTAGTGGGAAGTACATCCAGGACAGATTCAGCACAATTACAGATTTAGGGGTTCGGCTCTTAGTGAAAGTGTACTAACAAATGAACAGCTATATCCTACACTCTGCCTATACTCTTGCACGTACTTTGCAGATGGTGAAGTGAGAATGTATAGATTTGTAATAAAAACCATTTATTTAAAAAATTCACTTACAATATCATCTAGTTGCAGACAGACAGGATCCTCATCTCTCCCAAACCTGAGAACCAACACCTTCTCTGCAGTGCTCTTTATCACCTGGTCGACTTCTTTTTTGCTGGTCAGTTTGGGCAACAGGAAGCTCATCTTGAAATAATCCAAATAGTAATCGCCCACCGTCAGTCCTGAAATAATGCTGCAATGTTTAAAGGCAGATTAGGGGCATGAGTCTTCAATTAAAAATGAATTTAATTTTTTGAGTAGGTAATATGCATGTTTTTCCCCCAGAGAGAAAAAGGATTTCATACAACACTATCAAAATAGTAAAAGGAACACACTCAAAGGCAAGTTAAATCTACCGGTTTAAAAAGAAATGATACAGAAAGGTTTACTGTGAAAAATCTCCCTGTGTCGCCCCTCAGTTGGCTGAGTCCCTATTACTCCATTTCTCCCTACACACCAGGTCACTTTCTTTAGTTTCTCATGTATCTTCCAGAATTTTATTATGTATTCACTAGAAAATACAGATATAAATTCCTGTTTTCTCCCTCTTTTACTTCCCAAATGTCTTTTAGTACCAGTCAGTGTTGCAGCAGAAAAGACATCCTCAAATTTGGTAACTGGGCGACTTCCATTAAGGCAGGTTACAGGAAAAGAGTAGGGTACAGTGCTATACTCTGGGGTGAGTGACAGTGGGGCGCTGTTCCCACCTCTACACCTGAGAAGCCATGGGAGGGAGCAGCAATCAGAACTGTGTGGTAGAAATGGCTGGGTGGAGAAGGCTGCTATATAGGATATCAGACTAGTTAGGGGATTCAGCTACCCCTCTCCCTCCCTCTGATCTCCTGCTAATGCTCCCAATGGCTGACTCCAGCTGGAACCAGAGGGTTAGGGAGCTGCTGAGGTTGGTAAGCCTCCTGGTCCCAGAGCAGGCTAGAGAAGGAGGAAGAATGGATCTAGAAGGGCAAATGACAGATGTCCAGAACATGTACAATGTCTTTACCCACTCTTGTGCACTTTACACGTTTTTACCTAACATATGAAGATCTTCCCATATTTCTATGTAGAAAATTTACATATTCTTTGTCATGGCAGCATACTGTCTCATACATGTACCATACTTTTTAAACAGTCCTTTATTGATAGACATTTGTATTATTATGAGTTCTGTCTTAAAAATTCTTGGTGCGTATCTTACGTACGAGGTGGACCTCATCACATGTCAAACAAATCCATTGAGAGTATAAAAGCCACACACATACACAAAATGATAAAATATTGAGATAGAAAGGGCCTAATCCAACCCCATTTTATGTATTAGTTTGCTTATAATTACACTTCTAGCTACAACAACAGTGGCAAGAATCCAGGCCACGAACTTTCTAGTCCAGTGTTCCTTCTGCTACATACAGTAAGTTCCTGTTTATGTGATGAAGAAACTCTTTGATCAGCCCTGGCTGGCGTGGCTCAGTTGGTTGGAGCATCACTGCATAACTAAAAGGTTATGGGTTTGATCACCGGTCTGGGTGTGTGTGATTCCTGGTACAGATATGTACAGGAGGCAGCCAATCGATGCTTCTCTTTCACAACCAATTGATATTTTCTCGCTCTAAAAAGCACTGAAAAAATGTCCTTGGGTGAGGATAAAGAAAGAAAAAGAAAGCCTCTAATCAAAGAGCTTTATTTTTGCATCCATCCATGAGAGACCCACTGAGATGCTTGATTTTTTACTTCAGTTCCAGAGTTGGCTAATGCTATGAAAAGGCAGGATTTCTTTCTGTGTTTTGGTGATAGTCAAATCTAAAGATATAAATTAATAAAAATTCATACGGGGAATGAAATTGTTCCAGTAATAGGGCATACTTTAAATAGGGAAGCTGATGGCTAGAAGGGGCTTCATCAAATGTGAGTGGCAGGACAAATTACTGATGAAAGGGAAAGTCAAGGAGAAATGGATCTGTCCCAGCACTAGAATTCAAACAGTAACTCCTGTATGTTACTGATAAAGAGGAGGAAGTGAGAGGAGGGCAAAGCTGTCAAAAGGAGTGGTGGGGTAGGGGTGCTAGATAAATGTTGGCAGGAGAGGGACACTGCCACCATACCTAAGAAAATGTCCACAGCAAAGGAAAAAGAGAAGGCCCAAGATAGGTACAAATGGACAATGAAAAGCAAATTAAAAAATACGTTTAAATAAACCATTAAATTGGCAAAGATTAAACAATAGTGGAGAGTATGAATGAAAGGCATTCATAGTCTCTGCTGAAATTTAGAGGGAAAACTTCTTTTGAGAGTAGGATGAAATACTCTAACCAACAATTTTAGTTCTTAGAATAAGTTCTTAGGAAGTAATTAGACACGTGCACAGAAAGTTACATACAAAGGATATTCATCCCATTTATAATGGTAAAAAACTGGAATTAACTTAAATGGCAATTTAATAAGGGATTGGTGAAATAAAAGACAGTACAGTCCTGCCATGCACTATTATACTGTCACTAAATGCTGCGTTAGAGATGAACGTTTATCAGAACTTTTCAGACACCGAAAAGTTCTCACGATAAAGAAAAAAATTATAAAGCAGCGTGCTACTACATTACCGTCTAGGTACAAAACCTAACTGTAATATAAATGTACATGTTCACAAAGAAAAATAACTGGTGTTCACAAACACCATCAATGGCTAATCCTGCGTGTGAACAGACACGTGAGTTTTATTTGCATTGGAGTGCGGGTCTCTATCTTTCCAAAATACTCGATATAGTTGACCCATGAACAACGTTGGAGTCACGGCGCCTAAGGCTCCCGCAGTCCAAAATTCACTTAGAACTTAAGTGGCCGCGGCATACCGGGATTCCCAAACCGTGGATGGGAAATACAGTTCACGCTTGAAAAACACGGGTTCAAACCGCGCGGTTTGAACTGTCCTCGTTCAAGGGTCACTGATAATTTCTGTGTCGGGGAAGGCCATACTTACTTTATCGGTACAAATTGCCTCCCTCTTTCTCTTCAATTTAAGACTGTCGACAACCGCGGTCTCTTCCAGTGAGAACACTGGAAGCTACTTTCTTCCGCCGGAAACGCCACAGGGACTAATCCAAAGCAACCCAGGGGCTGTTGCCTAGCAACCCCGGGGGCAAGGTTGAAGAGACTGTAAAGGAAAACAAAAACGTACAGTGTAGTAGATGACGCAGTTCATCAGCCCAATTGGCTTGTTATTCCGGTCAGTTTACTTCCCCCGGCTCCGACCGGAAGCCTTAGAGTTACTTCCGCCCTTAGTAAAGATGACCGACCTCTTTTCTTTTCTACCCTCCCACCCTCTCAAACTAAAGGCGGGGCCTCGCCTCTTAGGCTGTGATTGGTTGCAACGAAACTCGGAAGTGTCTCTGATGTGAGACCCAGAGGACGACACTCTAGCCTTGAAGGCCTGGTCGCGTTATGTCCCACACTTGGAACCTGAAAGTGGCATTTTCCGGGTTGCTCTCTATGGTTTCTTTGGACGGATAGAAGGGGCCACCCAAGGTATTGTGGGACAATAATGGCAGCTTTCAAGGTGTGGGTTTTAGCTCTCTAAGGCGATCTGGGCGAGGGGTGGCGACGCCGGGGCCCCAGAATTCGGGACAGGAGGTCCCGAGAGTCGGGCTTGGTGAGGTGAGTGTCCCTTCTTTTTTGCTGACCTGCCCTTCACCAATCATGGCGGCTCCAGGCGGCAGATATCGGTCCCTCGCTCACGATCAGGCGCAGCTTTAGAAAAGCTTGTCCCCATTACCCAACTTACCTTACTTACTCTAGGGCTGCTGCGCAGGTCCTGCCGGTCCCGGCTCTTCTCTGTATTCTGGTCAGACCCTGCTGCCAGGCGCGCCCCCATTGACATCCATGGATGCTCCCCCCGCGTCACCCGAATTAGCCCACTTCCAAACGGATAGAGACCAGTAGCGCTCCTTGTGTCTTCTCTGTCATAGCGGCATCTCTACCAGGTGATCTCCTCTACTAGAATGTTGACTCCAGGAGGGCGGAAATTTCTGTCTGTTTTCTTCTTTGTTGTATCCATATTTCCCACTACTGAATAAGTAATTGAAGGAGTAGATCCAGTTTCTTTTTGTTGTTGTTTTTTCGTACTTCATGTAGCTGCTTTGTCATTAATTCTTCTACAGAATCCAGCTCCTTAAGACTTTATTTGTTCATCTCAGCAGGTAATTAAGTCTTGATGTCAGACACCTTGTCCATTGTTTTTGGGATTTTCCTTTGCTGTCTCTAGAATAATGTTTCACTTCCTGTTTTCCTTTAATCAGCTTAAATCTATTTATTCATCAAACGTTTACTTTGGTTGTCACTGAGTACGGCAATCAAAAGGTTAAGTACATTTACAACTACAGTTATTTTGGGATGTAGCAGAGCCAAACCTTTCCACTCTTATGTCCAATACCAAATGGTTTGTCTTCCTTCCAGGGAAACCCCAGAGTCTGTCATGGCGGACACCAATGAGGATACCTCAATACACAGATTGGAAGGCACTGATGGGGACTCTCAGGTTGGTGGTCTTATTTGCAAGACCAAAAGTGCGGCCAGTGAGCAGCATGTCTTCAAGGCCCCTGCTCCCCGCCCTTCATTGCTGGGACTGGACTTGTTGGCTTCCATGAAACGGAAGGAGCGAGAGGAGAAGGACGATGGGGAAGACAAGAAGAAGTCCAGAATCTCTTCGTACAAGGACTGGGAAGAGAGCAAGGACGACCAGAGGGATGCCGAGGAGGACGGCAGTGACCAGTCCGGTCGAAGTATCCGAAAAGACAGGTAAAGGCTTTAGGATGGGTTGACCCAAAGGGAATGAAAATGGAGGCCAGAAAATAATGGTCCATGTGTATCCCTCAGTTTTCCTGTTGGACAGGTAGGCCTTTATGATTTTATCATGACTCTATAATATTGAAGGTAGATAGAATATGGTATTTTCTTCAGATTTGTGGGAACATCCAAAGAAGACCAGTGAGTAGATGATGATGGTTAGAAATGCTTTGGAGTTGTTGCCATACATAATCCTGCAGTACCAGGGGATAGAGTGGAAGAGGACAGGTCATTTGTTTGGCACGGTTGGTAATGGGGCAAGGTTTTTGTCCTATAGAGGGGCCCTTTAACAGTTGCCCTCCCTGTTTCAGACATTATCGATCTGCTCGGGTAGAGACTCCATCCCATCCTGGTGGTGTGAGTGAAGAGTTTTGGGAACGTAGTCGGCAGAGAGAGCGGGAGCGTCGGGAACATGGTGTCTATGCCTCATCCAAAGAAGAAAAGGATCGAAAGAAGGAGAGATCCCGGGATCGAGACTCTGACCGCAAGAGAGACAGAGGTAGATGGCCCAGCATAGTTTCCATAGCCCATTATGCATTTGGGTTGACATGCCAGCCTCTTTTCTGTTGCAGTTTTTACAACACCCATTAAATTAGGGAGCCTTATTTGCATAATGTCATCCTGGCTGGTTTTGACCCTGTTGGGATTAGAAATAGCAGGCAGCTTGAGAACTGTTACTTGCAACATAGCTGCTTTGCTTGAGTGCGTGGTCCTCATTTTATTATGAAACTTCGTGAGAATGGGTAATATGCCTAAGAAACCACAGTTGACAATAGTCTCAGTGACAGAGAAAGGCCAGTGCTATGGAGCAAAGCTAGATGTAAAATCCAATGCTGGCTTTGCTCAGTATTGCTTGAGTTTATTATACACTTATAACTATTAAACAACTACTTACTATAGATTTGTAACTATTCTTTTTTGAATTCTTACAAGAAAATAACTGTTACTGTGAGTTTGAAACTTTCTAGCCAATAACTATTTTTCCCCTTGAAACAATAGGGCTATGTGAGTTTCAGGAGCCCATGGATCGCATTAGAGCAGTGCAGGTTGCACCTGTGAGTGAGTGGGAAGGCCTGTCTTTTCTCTAGGGTGAAGAAGGGTGGCAGTTGGGATGGAACATGTGTTTTCTAAGCTCTGTGTGTACTCTTGACAGATGAGCGGGATAGAAGCAGGCACAGCAGCAGATCGGAGCGGGAAGGAGGGTCAGAGCGCAGTAGGAGAAATGAACCAGAGAGTCCGCGACACCGACCTAAAGGTAGACTGAGTCATTGCTGGTAGTGGTTTGTGAGGGGTCAGGTATATAAAAGGCAGGGTGAGCGTCTTCCATCCTCAGAGGGATTGCTGTGGGCAGAGACAGAATTCTTGATTCCACCATGAACTTCTTGGACTATTTGGTTCTGAGTGGGGTGGGAGGGCCCTGGACCTTTCTATAAAGATGGAAATGTTCCTTCAGGGTGAAAGGTTGGTTTACTGGCCACCTTTCCAAATGGCAGGAAAGAATAGGGAGCTGGGGATCAGAAAAAAGATTTAATAAAAAGACTTATTTATATTTAAAGCGTTGTATTTACAGAGACAAACTAGATATTCCTTGAAGTGTTATAAACACAGATGAAAACTGGACTGTTAAAATGCAGATATCTTTAAAAATTGTCAGAACCATCTTACCAATTACAAATAGGTACAAAGATTATAAATAGTAAAATAAACTTGGGAAATTGACTTTTGGCTAATAGTTTTAGGGCTAAATTCTGGTTAAATGAGATGTTTCCTATAGACGTGTCTTTTGTGGCCCCAGATGCAGCCACCCCTTCAAGGTCTACCTGGGAGGAAGAGGACAACTATGGCTCCTCAAGGCGCTCACAGTGGGAATCACCCTCCCCTACGCCTTCCTATCGGGATTCTGAGCGGAGCCATCGGCTGTCCAGTCGAGATCGGGATAGGTAATGTTCTGGGCCGAGCACCTAGTTTCCCTGGGTGGGTGACATGGGTGGATGGAATGAGGGCAAAGGGATCTGGGCTGGGAGAGCCCAGGTGGCAGCTGGGAAACATGCCTCAGCTTAGTGACTAGTGCTGCTGGTCATACTATTTCCCAGGTCTGTGAGGAGCAGGTACTCAGATGACACACCTTTGCCAACACCATCCTACAAATACAACGAGTGGGCTGATGACAGAAGACACCTAGGGTCCACTCCACGTTTGTCCAGGGGCCGAGGTAAGGTGGTATGGGAGTGGGGGGCAGGAAAGCAGTGCCGCTCATCCTGGTCAGGCTGAGCAAAGCTGTGCTTCGGAGCCTGCTGTTGGTGGCCACTGGGGATAAGCTGGGGTTGTGTGGTCTGACCTGCTATGCGTTCTCCTTCAGCAAGACGTGAGGATGGTGAAGAAGGAATTTCATTTGATACAGAAGAGGAGCGGCAGCAATGGGAAGATGACCAGAGGGTAAAAACTTTATGTCTGTAAGGGACTGAATGAAAGATGGTGGCCATCCATTGATGAATGGGTGACACGATGTGTCAGAGCACAAGGGACAGGAGTGACACTCTAGTGGAATTGGACTTTGATGGCAGTTTCAGGGAAGCTGAACCCTTTCCAGTCCCAAAGCTCTGGAATCTCTCTCCAAAGCCACAGGCTCAGTGACACACTTCTCACCTAGTGCAGGTCAGACCTGACTTTCCTAGTTATGTGTTGGTGCCACCATGTGGTAAACCTAAGAAGTGCTGCCATGATGAGCTGCCATTGAAAGTCTTAAATATAAGTCTGTTACTGTAGTTCTCTAGATGGCTCATCTCAGAGCTGGGTAGCCTCCTGTGCCTCTCGCAAAGGCTGCTCCATTGCACTAGCGACTTCTTACCAAATATCTCCACCCCTTCTGGCCATGTCTGGTGCATAAACTTGATTTGTTCCTTGTTCCCTTTGCTTTGTCTCCTGCACTGTAGCAAGCTGACCGGGATTGGTACATGATGGATGAAGGATATGATGAGTTCCACAATCCCCTGGCCTACTCCTCCGAGGACTATGTGAGGAGGCGGGAGCAGCATCTGCATAAACAGAAGCAGAAGCGCATTTCAGCTCAGCGGAGACAGATCAATGAGGTAATGCTGCTGCCTGTAGTAGTTGGAGCAGATTCAGCTGGAGCTGGGGGCATGTGGGAGATGCAGCAGGCCACGTGCATGCACTGACAGCACAGTGTGTCTCCCCATTACTGAAGTGCCAGATACTGCTGCGACTCTGGAGGTAGAGGAGGGGCGGCTGTGCAAGTTTTCAGTAACTTAAAAAAAACCCAAAACAAAACCCAACTTGGAACTTCTCTCTTTGTAGTACTTCCTTGAAGGGTGCTGGGCACTGCACCATTTGTGTGTCCCTGTAGAGGTTGTAACAGGTATGAATTGCTGC